GGGAGTTACTACAGAGAAACAGCAGTACAGCATTTTCTATTAAACAACTGGAATGAAGTTTTGTGCTTACAAGGCAAATTGTAAGAATGGCTTTTCAACCCTACACTTGAAAGAGTGGCTTTTCTAGGGCTGCAGCTGGTGATGTTGACTGTCAGGAGACAATCTAACTATGTCCAAATATGACCCATGTGTTATCTAATTAAAAAGTTCTGGATCTTGTATTGGGATCCCATTGTGATCTTAGAACTGAAAATAAGGCTGGCTTAAGCTAGATTTCAGTGTACAGATTATCTGATTTCCAGTTACACTTACAGATTGTGAGTTATCTTGAAAGCATTCCCTGCTTAACATGAGTTTTCCTGTGTGCAGAGTGTTCTACCATATTATGTGGCAACAAAAATGTCCAAAATCCGCAAGCCGACCCTCGACAAGCCCAGTCCTGAGAGGTATGTGAGAGCTGCCTTGGGCACGGTGGGCCTGCAGTCCCAGACCAACGGGTACCTACCTCATGCTCTCATGGTAAGTCACCTTGATCTGAAATGTCCTTTGTGCTTATTATGGAAAAAAGAGTAATTAGTACAGGTTACAAAATGCTGAGACCTCACCCCCTTCTTTTATTTTTCTTCTTTTATTTTTTTTTTTTTAGGGATGGGTCATCTCTCTTCTACCTACATCTACTGCCATTAACTTGATAATGAAAACAAACAAACAAATACGGGCTCGTTATTTTAAAAAAATGAAGGAGAAGTAAGTGGGAAGCAACTTGATCTTGGGAACCTGGGACTCCTGCAAGTTCCACACCATGCTGCAACATCAAGTAGACTTAATGTTTAAACATCTCCAATCGTAGGTGTGCTTTCTAACAAGAGAACAGTCTTGTTTTGAGGATACAGATGAAACAAGACTGTTGACTTCTAATATTGATTGAAAAATAGGCTTTATTTGTTTATAGCTATTATGAGGGGGGAAGTGCTTTGAACTAAAATTGCACTGTGCTTTATGAAATACTTTCATGGACTTGATCAGACATCACACTCTTGAGGAACATCTTGGTTATATAGTGTCCATCATATCTATTCTTGTGCTCATGGGTGAAGGGCAGAAAAAAAGTAGTTCTCATATATTCCCGGGCAGGTGCGCAGGAGAGGAAAGGGAGCATAATTATTTTAAAAGGTAACCTGGTACTATTTCCAGACTATTGACCTCTTGAAGCTCAGGTTTTGGATACTTGCAAGGATTCTGCACTATGAGTCAGCTCATGAGTGCTCCCCTGCTTACATGTTCCAGTGTGATTTTTTTGGTTATGAACTTGAGGGAAATGGGCCAAAACCAGAAATAAATGTAATAGCTCATCTATAAATATATACATAAAGTAACACTGCAAAAAGCATTTAAAATCTTGGGTCTTGAATATGGATTCTGACTTTTCAGTAATATGTAATCTTCATGATTTGTAATAACATTTTTAAAAGTTCAGTGCCTGCTCTTTGTAATAGGTGGTGATAACACAATGTAGATAAATGTCACAAGTTACATGTTACATGCTGGTTGCTATGTAAAAGATTATGGGTACTTCAAATGCAGAGCTTGAAATGAGTTACTCTCCTTGTTAGCAACGGTGGTTTAAATTCTTTTTGAAGTTATGTATCAGTCTGTCTTTCTGGTGAGTTCTTTTGAAATGTGACTCCTGAATATTTAGATGGCTTTAAAATGAGAACCAGGAAATGTCTTAAAGAGTAGAACAGTTTTAATTTAATTGCATTAAAATTAACTGGTTTTTTTCATGGTTCTGTTCCAAAGTGGAATGTTCCTATAAGGCTCAAGTTACCTAACTCCTGGACACAGGGATCAGAGTACATGAGAAGTCTGCACTGCTGTTGTCTGTGTTTACCTACTTTATTAAAGATTTTGGTTTCTAACATTCCTTTTTATAAACATAAAATGTATAAAACTTGCAAGGCAAATGAAATTGCAAGCAGCTACCACTGTTTTCTGTGGGTTTTTTCTGTCTTTCAAAGAATAATTTCAAGCTCTGATTTTGAAGTAAGATGTGTTGCACTGAGACATGATTTGGGGCTAACATTTCTGTACATTGAAAAAACCTGAATACCGATGCAATGGTGCTGATCAAATCTGAGATGCAGATCCTATCCCATAGTTTTCTTAATTTTTTGGAACAGGGATGGTGAAGTTGGTGGTATTAGTTCTCTATGAGCACATGATTTGGTTTGCTCTGGATCTGATGTGAAAGCGTTGGACTAAAAAATCTGTATGTTTATGACTTTGTAAAACAAATAAAATGGAAATTACTCTTGAGTCTTTAATGTGTTATGTTTTTCTTATAAAAATGTTTGTGGGTACATTGTCCTTTACTGTGAATAATAACAATGAAAATTACTCTTAATTTACATGCCAAAACCAGTGCTTATATTAATTTGTTTTCCTGGCTGTCATCTAACCCGTATCTGGGGTGCTTTAGGCACAGCAACTCTGTCCAGTTAAGGTAGGTGACTCTCCTGCTCTCCTCTGCACTGACTCTCACCTTGAATACTTCATGTGCAGTTTTGAGTGCCACAATATAAGATACAAAGCTATTGAAGAGTGTCCAGAGGACAACTGTGAAGATGGTGAAGGGCCTGGAGGAGAAGCCTTGTGAAGAGCAGTTTGAGGTGACTTGGTTTGTTCAGCCTGGAAGAGACTTGACAGGAGACCTCACAAGGGGAGGTGGAGTGGCAGACACTGATCTCTGTGGAACCAAGGGAACAACAGCATGAAGCTGAATCCGGAGAGATTTGGGTTGGATACTAGGAAAAGGTTCTTCACTCCGAGGATGTTTGGGCACTGGAACAAGCTCCCCAGGAAAGTAATCATGGCACCAAGCCTGACAGAGTTCAGGAAGTGTTTGGCCAACACTCAAAAAACACACGGTGTGATTTTTGGGGCTGCCCTGTGCAAGGCCAGTAGCTGAACTTAAGATGATCGTTGTGGATCTCTTCCAATTCAGGATATTCTATGATATTACTTTAAATAAGCAGAATACAAATTTTATTAGAACTGTTAAGCTATTAATAAACATTTATTTCCAGTTAACAATTTTGTAACTACTGAAGGTCTCCAGAAAGGTATGGCAGAGGGAATAGCATGCACATCCAACTGGCACAGAGGGAGGCACCCGGGTAAGGAGGTTCTCTGAGGCCTTGGTCCCCTTTCACATGGTGTCAGGCTGCAGGTTGGGTTCCCACTCTCATGCCCTGAGCTATTCCATTTTCCAAGCTGCAGCAGGGCATCACTAAACTATTTTTTAACTTAAATTTTACTTACACTTTAACCTAAACTACCTCAACTTTGATTTTGAATGTCTGTTCACCTTAGTGAGGTAATGTCCATTTAATAGCTGTCCACGTCCTTGGGGACTACCCTGGGCACCTGCCCGAAAACAGGAGGGGGTTTCTGGTGCCATCAGTCGCGTCCCTTGCTGGTTCCAAGAATGTTTTTCTTCCCGGCGCCTTGCAAGGCCTGGGCTGCGCTTTCATCCCCTGTTGGAACGGGACAAGCGGGGCGGGAGACGGCTCGGGCGGCG